AACAGGCTGGGAGAAACTCTTTGCAAACATTTTTCTGATAAAGGACTTGTATCTATAATATACAAAGAATTCTTAAAACTCAACCAGAAGACAACCTAATTTTAAAATGAGCAAAAGATTTGAACAGACACTTTACCAAAGAAGACACACAGATGGTAAATAAGCACACAGAAAGATGCTCAACATTATTAGTCATTAAGGAAATGTAAATCAAAATCACAATGAGATACCATTTCATATCCACCAGAACAAAATATCTATAATCAAAAAGACAGATAATAACATGAGAAATTGGAACCCTCATACATTGCTGGTAGGAATGTAAAAGGATGCAACTGCTTTGAAAAACAACAGCAGTTCTTCAAAATGTTAAACATAGAGATACCATATTATCCAGCAGTTCCATCATCCTAGATAACTACCCAAGAGAAATGAAAACACACATCCATAAAAAAATTTGTACATTAATGTTCACAGCAGCCAAAATGTGGAAACAACCTAAATGTCTATCAATTGATGCATGGATAAACAAAAGAGAATATTATTTGGCAATAAAAAGGAATGAAATACTGATACATGCTATGACACAGATGAATTTTAAAAACATTATGCTAAGTGAAAGATGCCAGTCACAAAAGGCCACATATTGTATGATTCCACTTATATGAAATGTCGAGAGTAGGTAATCTATAGACAGAAAATTCATTAGTGGTCCCAGGGCAAGGGAGAGAAGCAAGGGGAATGACTGCTAATGGGTACAAGGTTTCTTTTAGGATGATGAAAATGTTCTAAAATTGGATTATGGTGATGGTCACACAACTATGTAAATGTACTAAAACCACTGAATTGTATACTTTACATGGGGGAATTTTATGGTATTTACATTATATCTCAATAAAGCTATTACCAAAAAAAGGAAAGGAATAAAATGGGGAACCAAGCAGGAAGAAGCAAAACCAAAAAAATCTTCCCAAAAAGAAAAGCCTGGCTTTAGGTAGTCCTACTGGTGAATTCTATCAAATATTTAAAGAAGAAATAATACAATTCTACACAATCTTTTCCAGAAAACAGAAGAGGAGGAAATAATTTCCAACTCATTCAATGAGGCCAATATTACCCAGATGCCAAAGCCATAGAAGGTGTAACAAGAAAACCTACAGCCCATATCCCTCATGGACACAGACACAACATACCCACAAACTGTATCCAGCAATATATAAAAAGGGTTAGATACCATGACTAAGTGGAATTTATCCCAGGACTACAAGGTTGGTTCAACATTCAAAAATCAATTAACAATACCAAAACATATTAACAGAACAATGGACAAAAACCACTTGATCATCTCAATAAATGCATAAAAACATATGACAAAATACAACACCCATTCAAGATAAAAACTCTCCATAAATTAGAAACAGGAGGAAATTTCCTCAACCTGATAAAGGGCATTTATGAAAAACCTTCAGCTAACACTTAACGGTGAACAACTCAATGCTTGCCTCTTAAGATTAGGAAAAAGGCAAGGAAGGATGGGTGCTCTTGTCCCTTCTATTCAACACTGTACTGGAGGTTTTAGCCTGTACAATAAGAAAAAAAAAAAGAAGAAAGTAAATTTAAAGGCATTCAGATTTGAAAGGAAGACGCAAAACTGTCTTTATTTGCAGACCACATTATCCAGTATGCAGAAAACCTACGGAATCCATACACAAAAAACTAGTAGAACTAATAAATAAGTTCAGCAAAGCTATAAGATACCAGATCAACACACAAAAATCAAGCATAGTTCTACATACTTAGCAATGAACAATCCCAAAATGAAATCAAGAAAAAAATATTCCCTAAAAACATAACATCAAAAAGAACAAAATACTTAGGAATAAATTTAACAAAAGAAGTGCAAGCCTTCTACATTGAAAATTACAAAACACTAGTAAGAAGAATTAAAGAAGATCTAAATAAATGGAGAGACATTCCAAGTCTCTAGACTGGAAGATTCAATATTATCAAGATAGCAGTTCTCCCCAAATTGATCCACAGATCCACAATATCTATCAAAATCCCAGCAGAATTTTTTTTGGTAGAAATTGACCAGCTGAACCTAAATTTATATGGAAATGCAAAGGATCTAAAGTAGCCAGACAATTTTCAAAGAGAACAAAGTTGTAGTACTTACACTACTAGATTTCAACACTTACTATAAAAGCTACAGCAATCAAGACACTGTGGTACTGGCATAATAAGAGACCTATCGACCAACAGAACAGAAATGGGAGTCCAATGACAAATCCTTACATTCATGGTCAACTGATTTTTGACAGTGGTGTCAAGGCAATTCAATGGGATGAAGGATAATCTTTTCAACAAATGGTGCTGGGACAACTGGATAGCCAACTTCATAAAGATGAATTTAGATTTGTACTTCATATCATACACAAAAATTAAATCAAAAAGAATTACAGACTTAAACGTAAGAAGTTAAACTGTAAAACTTCTTAAAGAAAACATAGGAGAAAAATCTTTGTGCCTGTGGATTTAGGCAAAGAGTTCTTTGGTACAACACCAAAAGCATGACCATAAAACAAAAAATTGGTAAGTTGGACTTTACCAAAATTAAAGATGTTTATACTTCAAAAGATACTATTAAGAAAATGAAAGGCAAACCAGAGACTGAGAAAATATTTGCAAATCATACAACTGCGAGAGAACTTGCACCTAGAATAATAACTGTTACAACTCAGTATAAAACAAACAGCTCAATTTAAAAATGGGAAAAGATCTGAATAGACATTTCACCAAAGAAGAAAAACAAATGGCCAATAAGCACATGAAAAGATGCTCAATATCTCTTCATCATCCTAATTCAGTTATTAGGGAAATGCAATCAAAGCCACAATGAGATATCATTTCACACCCCAGTTCTAGAATGACTATAATAAAAAGATAGACAATAATAACATCTGTTTAAAAAAGCCCTTACTTGCTACTGAACTGTATACTTAAAAATGGTTAAAATGGTAAATTTTATGCTATGTGTATTTTACAATTAAAAAAAAAAGCCCTTACCAATACTTAAAAAAAAAAAAAAAAAAGTGAACAAAGCAGGAAAAAACAAAAACAAAAAAATCTTCCCACAAAGAAAAGCCCGACTTGAGATGGCTGCACTGGTGACTTCTACCAAATACTTCAAGAAGAAATAACACAATTTTACATAATCTTTTCCTGAAAATAGGAGAGGAGGAAAAACTTTCAAACTTATTCTGAGGTTAATTTAAATGTATAATTAGAGGTACCCTGATTTATTTTGTGCAGAAAATGCATTATTAAAGTATAAAAGACATATGGTATTAGACCAGAAGTCTTGAAAACTGGGTTACAATCTAGACTTTGCTACCAACTAGTTGTGTATCTTTGTCAAGTTACCTCATCTTTTTGGGCTTCAGTTTCCTCATATGTAAAATAAGACGGTACACCAGAGAAATCCTTTCCATCTATGTGATATAATTCTACGGTACATTTATCACATAAAATTTTGTTTAAATCTTGCCTAATCCTAAATTGGTATTACCCTTCTGGAAAACAATATGGCAACATGTAGTAAGAGCCCGTTCATACTCTCTGGTGAAGTATTTCAACTTTTGGACATTTATTTTAAGAATATACTTCAACCAAAGCAAAAGAACACATAAAAAGATGGTCAACTTGAACAACCCACATGTCCAACAAGAGCAGAATAACATAGTAACAAAGAAATATCAAATTACTAAAAATTAGTATGAAGATGATTGTGGAAAATATTTTTGTTAGGTAAAAATAATCAGAATATAAATGATGTAAACTATGAAAATGTACACAGTATTTAAGTATATGCCAAAGAAAAGGACATTTGTATTAATGAAAGTACTATTAGGGTTGTGAGTCTAAAGATTTTTTTTTTTAATTACAAAGTGTTTTGAAATGTTGATACATTACATACTCAAAGAGAAAAAAATCAGAATCCTGTCCAAAGGATAGAGATAAAAAATATCAAGATCATGTTGATAAAGTTCTAAGTTGTTCTGGCTTGATTAATGCTCCCAAGAGTGGTTATGAACCTAGGGCTCTCAGGAGAAGTCTCAATGATTAAAATTTTTATCAGTTGACACTGGAATTAGCAACAGTATTTTACCTGTTCTAGTCAGTGTTGAGGTAAAGCCTGGAAGTCTATGATTTTACCAAGTACTTATTAAAATCCAGATATAATACTGGATAGTTCAAAATTCTTATGCCTGATTATTTCATTTATCACCATCACTCCCTTTCAAGTTCTCAATTTAAAATTTCTCAGGCAGCCTTCATTTTTAAGTGTACCAGCCACACAATTATTTGAGTTATATAACCACTAAAGTTCCTCTTAAGTAAGGATAGTGAAAATAAGAAGGGAGTGTCTAGCTTCCTGATTTTCCTCTGTATTCCTATGGGTGCCCACTAGGACAGGGATTTCAAGGGGATCCAGGCTTAGCATTCCCAAGGTCAGCAGAGAGAATACTTGGTAAATGCTACTGTGCACAATCCTAATAACAGTAGGTTGAACCATATGAAATTATTTCTGTAGGTCAAAAAAAGTCGACTACTGGCAATTTCATATGGCTCAACCTATGTTAATGTCTTTGTATTAAGAAAACTTTCTGCTCCCTTTGAGATTCTGTAAAATCACTGTTAAGGATTCTCTCCTTAACCTTCCCAATGAGTATACTTACGAGAGTCATTATTTTCAGAATCAGAAGTTAAGCAATTAGTTTTTGCATGTTTGCATTAAAATGCCTAAGTCGTAAGCAAAACCAAGAAGTGTTTTAACAGCAGCCAACCAAAGAATAAATATCGTAATTATCCCGTTCTAACTCAATTCCTGTCAAGGTCATGTTTCTCCTCACAAAGCAGTAAGTTTTCGTGCCAACACTTTCAAAGAAATGCTTCTTCCACCTCCAGTTGAAATCACTCCCATTTTGAGAGCATCTTACCTGAAACTACCATAGACTATAAGTAGAATGGAAATGAGAAATGTAGACACTTGACTGGAATCCACCAGGGAATAGGCCCTAGAAAAAAAAAGAGGAAAAAAAATTGAAATCACATGGCAGCAAGTTCTCATGGAGTTCACAGTCTAATGCAGTCTACAAACCCCACTAAATTTTTTTTTTTTTTTTTAAAGATTTTATTTATTTATTTTTCCCCAAAGCCCCAGTACATAGTTGTCTGTCATAGCTGCACATCCTTCTAGTTGCTGTATGTGGGACGCGGCCTCAGCATGGCTGGAGGAGTGGTGCCTCGGTGCGCACCCGGGATCCGAACCCGGGCCGCCGGCAGTGGAGCGCACGCACTTAACCACCAAGCCACGGGGCCGGCCCCCCACTAAATTTTATTTTTGTCTTTAACAAGAAAAAAAAAGATGTAAATTAGCATTAACAAAATAACAGAATCAAAACGAGATCTGCTAGTTTAACATAAAGAATAAATGTATAGATTCACAGCTATTATTAGTTAACATTCACAGGATGTCAAACGATATTAATGTAAAAATCCCATCTCTGTATGATACACAATATATGCTTATAACATCCACTCCCAATTTAAAAAGTATCAAAATAGCTACCAACTCTGTACCAATGATAAAAAAATCTCAATGACTAAACTGTTATCAGTTCACACTTGAATTATCAATAGTATTTTACTGGTTTTACTCAGCGATAAGGTAAAGCCTCTCTCTCTCCCCTCAATTCTATTTCTGTTTTCATAACTGCCTATTGGTTCTCTCTGTCTGGGTGTCCTAAAGGAGGCTCTTCAAAGTCAACAGGTCCAAAACTAAAGTTATTATTCTTTCCTTCATACATGATCCTTTCAAGAAATGGTATCATGCTTCCCTCAGCTGTCAAAGCTAGAAATCTACTGCATTCTTGACACCCCCTTCTCTTACTTCCCACACGCAGCGAAAGTCAGTGAGTCCTGCAACTTCCACATCCCTGATTACCCTACTTCTCTCAATCCGACTGCCAATTCCTTAGCTCCTTTCTACGGCTTGACTATCAGAAATCTCGATTTTAAGTCTGTCTCCAGGAGTTCACCCTTCACACTACTGATTCTTGTTAGGGGTTTTTCCTAAAACAAATTTCTCTTTATTTTTTCATTCAGCAAATATTTAATGATGCCTCTGGGCCAGGTACTCTGCTAGCCGCTGGGGATGTAATAACAAACAAGACTGCCTTGGTCCCTCCCTGAATGTCTTTTCTAAAGGAATAAAAAGTTAAACTTCATTCTAAAGGAATGAAAACAAAACGTTAACATAAGCAAGTGAATATTATTATGGAAAATGTTATAAAGGAGAGAAAGACAAATACAGGGTACTCTGAGAATTTATAAGTGGATCCTATCTAAGAAGTGTGTGTGTGGGAGGATGTTTTCCTTAGGGAGATAGACAGATGAGAAAGATACAAGAGACAATAAATAGGACTTGGCGATTACTCCTATTTATAGGAGCTAGGAGAGGATTCCCAGGTTTCTGCGGAGCAGCTGGTGGATGGCTGTACCATTTAGCAAAAAGGCAACATAGGAGGAGCAGATTCAAAGCTAGGTTTTGGAGGTACTGAGGAGACAGTTGGATATCTGGGTCTAAGCTAAAGATATATACTGGGAGCTCATCACCTTTGACATGGTAAGTGAAGCCATAGTTGTGGGTGAGATTGCCTAGCAGCAGTGAGAAGAGGACTTGGGTTAAAGCCTGAGAAACTTGAAAATTTAAAGATCAGGAAGGAGGAGGAGCTGCAAAGAAAACCAAAACGAAACAGAGAAAGAGAAAGAAAACCCAGGATAGCAAGGTAAGTGATGAGAATGTTTCAAAGAGGCAGAAGGACCAGATGGTGTCTGAATTTAAACCCCTGCTCTCTTACTAGTGGTTGGACTAGTTACTTAACCTCTCTAAGCTACAGCTTCTTCATCTATAAAATGGGGATAAAGACAACACCTACCTCAAAGAGCTGTTAAAGAATTAAATGAGATAATTCATATAAAGAGCTGAACACAGTAAGTACTAAATTAACATTCACTGTTAGTATCAAGAGGGAGAGGTCACCTCTAACTGAAGGTGGCTGAGAGGTCCAGCAAGATGAACACTAAGTGTCCACTGGATTTATTCAACGTGTAAGTCACTGGTGACGTTAGCAAGAACAGTTTTAGTGGTGTGGTGGGGATGGGAGTCAGACTGGAATTGGCTGAGAAATTAAAGTTAAAGAAATGAAGATAGCTTTTTGAAAAGTATAGGGAAGAGAACAGCAGCTGGAGGGGAATGAAAGGATGAGGGAGGCCTTAATTTCTTTTTCTTTTTAAGATAAGAGATACTCAACTTTTTTTATATGCTGACTGGAAATTATCCCAGTGAACAGGGAAAGACTGATGAATACAGAGGAGGAGACGTTTCCTTTAATCTTTCTAAATAATGAAATTTCATGATAAGAAGTTGTAGTCTGTAATGTCATTTTTTTTATCTTTAGTTATTAGAGATACATACTGAAGTATTTATGGGTGAAATGTTATGATTTAAGGTTTGCTTTAAAGAATTCCAGGAACAAAAAAGGAGGCATAGTTTTTTTGTTCGTTTTTTTTTTAAAGATTTTTATTTATTTATTTTCCCCCCAAAGCCCCAGTAGATTGTTGTATGTCATAGCTGCACATCCTTCTAGTTGCTGTATGTGGGACACGGCCTCAGCATAGCTGGAGAAGTGGTGCGTCGGTGCACGCCCGGGATCCGAACACGGGCCACCAGCAGCGGAGCGCGCGCGCTTAACTGCTAAGCCATGGGGCTGGCCCAGCAGTTTTTTGCTTTTTTTTTTTAAAGAGAATTGTTTTTAGTTATTGAAGCTGGAATAATAGGTACATGGGAGTTCATTAATACTCTTCTCTCTATTTCTGTGTATTTTGAAAACTTCCACAACAAAAACTTAAAAAAAAAAAAAAAAAGTAAAACCTTTTTGCACAGCAAAGTCTTTGAGATGGTGATACAACGAAAAACACGAGAGGCAGATGAACACAGGGATGTGTGTTGTGGGTCATGAGTTCTGTCCCACAGCACCCCACAGCGGGCAGCCACCTTTTCCTGAAGTTTCAGCTGGCAAAGGGGACGGAAATGCAGGAGACGGGACGGCCCCTCCAGCTTCTCTGCTAGCCTCTGCCAGTAACGCAGCTGTGGCTGCCAGTGCGTCCTCTTTCAGACAAGCAGATGATACAGACAGGGCTGATCCACCAGAGGTGCCTGAGACAGCGCACCTCATATATTAGGAAAATTGATTCAATCATTTCTCTTTATTCTAAAATTATGTTTTTTGCTCTGACATAATCTTTGCACATATCTTTCAAAATTCTGAAAACAAATGACCTCTGTTTAGAAGGAATATTTTCTTAAAATTAAGAAAAAATTTTTTTGGAATAGGTCACATATTCACATCGTACAAAAATCAAAACTTTATTATATATATGTATATAAAGATACACACTGAACAGTCTCACTCTCATCTAGTTCCCCCCAGGTCCTCTTCAGATAACCATTTTTTTTTTAATTTTTTTTTTATTTATTTATTTTTCCCCTAAAGCCCCAGGCGATAGTTGTATGTCATAGTTGCACATTCTTCTAGTTGCTGTATGTGGGAAGCGGCCTCAGCAGGGCCGGAGAAGCAGTGCGTCTGTGCGCGCCCGGGATCCGAACCCGGGCCGCCTGCATCGGAGCGCACGCACTTAACCGCTAAGCCACGGGGCCGGCCCTGGATAACCATTTTTATTAGGAATAAATATGTTAAAAAAATATTTCTCACCATTTCTTATACAAAAGGTAGACTAATAAATACACTGCTCTGTACTCCCTCACTCCCACTCCTGTTTTTACAATATAACCCAGAAATCTTCCTATATTAGTATGTGGAGATCTTTCTCTTCTTTATTTTCATTTTCTTTTTTTTTTTTTTTTTTTTGTGAGGGAGATCAGCCATGAGCTAACATCCATGCCAATTCTCCACTTGTTTGCTAAGGAAGACTGGCGCTGGGCTAACATCTGTGCCCCTCTTCCTCCACTTTATATGGGCTGCCGCCACAGCATGGCTTGACAAGCAGTGCATTGGTGCATGCCCGGGATCCGAACCCGGGCAGCCAGCAGCAGAGCACATGCACTTAACCGCTACGCCACGGGGCCAGCCCCTATTTTCATTTTCTTTAAACATCTGCACAGTATTTCATTTGTGTGGATACACCACAATTTTTGTTTTGTAAAAAACAAATCCCTTTTAGATGAACATTGTAGTTGTTTCCAAAAATTCTGTTACAAACAATTTTGCAATAAAGAGCCTTGTAGGGGCCAGCCCCGTGGCTTAGCAGTTAAGCGCGCGCGCTCCGCTACTGGCGGCCCGGGTTCGGATCCCGGGCGCGCACCGACGCACCACTTGTCCAGCCATGCTGAGGCGGCGTCCCACATACAGTAACTAGAAGGATGTGCAACTATGACATACAACTATCTACTGGGGTCTTGGGGAGAAAAAGGAAAAAAAAAGGAGGAGGATTGGCAATAGATATTAACTCAGGGCCGGTCTTCCTCAGCAAAAAAAAAAGAGGATTGGCATGGATGTTAGCTCAGGACTGATATTACACACACACACACACACACACAAAAGAGCCTTGTAAATTATACCTGCATTGCACACACATGAAATGACACATCTGTGTAGAACAAAGTTCTTAAAAGTGCAACTGCTGGATTGAAGAGGAAATGCACTTGCAATCTGATAGCTATTGCCAAACTATCCTCCAGAGAGGTTATATCATTTTGCACTCTCACCAGTGATGGATTAGGGTACCTGTTTTCCAAAGCCTTGTCAACAGTGAGTTTTGTCTAATTTTTTACCAATCCGAGAGATGAAAATTGGTACCTCAATATGGTTTTCATTTGCATTAATTAGTTTTCTGATATAATTAAAAATTTTAAATTAATTAAAAGTGAGACTGAGCAGCTTTTCATATGATTAAGGGCTAGCAGGCATTTTTAAAAACAATTTAAATTTTTTTC